AGAGCAACTCATCCTTCCGATTCTTTCGGCCCAGAATCTCAAACCATTGTTCTCCATTTACTGGCTGCAGGATTTTCAGGGCAATGGGAATGGAGTCGGGATGGATATTGAAGTGAATATTGTTGAAGTGAATTGTTGAGATGGAGTTTTTATGTTTTTGTGCTGTTAGATTACGTGAATTCATATGTGTTATGCGAGTACTTGATGTTTCAGTTTCTTTGGTTGAGCCACTGAAACTGAAATTATGAAGTTATGGATTTGCAATTTTTGAAAAAACAATACTTGCTCCATCTCAAATAAGGGTTCCTTTCATTGAATTTCCATTTTAGCACACACACACATATATATATATATATATATATATATATATATATAAATTCGTGACCACTAAATTACCAGAGAACTTCATCGGAGAAGATGCATAAATAATGACACTATGAATAGGCTACCTTAGTAATGTTATCCTCTAAGCTTCGATTTGAGGCCATGAATTGACACTATTATTCCAAAACCCTTGCTAAAATTTGCTAATAAATAAATAAATGACTACAAATTTAAACCCAAGCTAAACAACTTCAAAACAGGGGAAAAAGACAATGGAAAAGAGGAAATAAAAAAAAAGAAAAAAAAACTGAGAATAAGTACTTGGTATTCTAATTTTTTTTCCATGCAGGGATTCATATGAATGGAGTTGTGCGGAAAATAAAATTTTAACCCGTCTAGATTTATAGTTTTTCTCCATTTTGGGTTTAATTTATGATTATTATATATATGTGTATAATTGTGAAATAGTTTAACTTTTTTTTTCCTACAAAGAAATTTTGGCACCACGCATTGATGTATCGCTCTCTAAAAGTAATTCCAACCACTACACCATAATTTGCATCAAATTTAGTGTAAAAAAAAAGGTTCCTAGTATCTTTTCACATTGAATGTCGTTACACTTTAACTTTGATGCACCAAATAAACATTATTATCTAAATTTTATTCGTTTAGTTAAAAATCTTAAAGTTTGGTGATAATTTTATTATATAGATTATTTTTAAAAAAATTTAAATTAATTTTAAAAGTATCAATTTTCTCATATTTAATTTACTTATAACTTAAATTAAGTTTTTGAAAAATATATAAATATTACAGTCAATACGGGTCTTATTTTGAAGATCTCAACAAGACCTTTAATATGATATAGATTTCATAACACTATTATTTTTATAAGTTCAATCTCATAACAAATTATTTATTTAGAGGAAAGTAAAAAGATAGTGTATAAAGATGGTGCAATTAACAGTTTACCCCAAATTTGGGGCAACACCATTCATTGTATAATGCACTGATTTAATGTGTGCGTTGGTTGCGAGTTTTATATCAAAACTCTAAATTTAGTATTTTAGTATCTTGGTTAGAGTTTATCTAATAGAGAAAATACTTATTTCACTATGTTACACATTTTTTTTTCAAAAATAACAAGTTAGGCTTTCACCTTGATGTATCGTTCTCTAGGAGAGAAAATACTTATTACACTAAGACATTTTTTTTTTTCAAAATTAAGAAGTTATGCTTTCATCATCTCCATGACCCTTATTGCTTTATATTATTATAACAAATTCAATGTTAAATTACCAAGAAAGCCAAGATTCCAAGTAAAAAACCAATAATAGAAGCAAGGCACTAATTTGAGATAATACGGAGATTCCTAAAATATGTCAATGCATCATCAAATATTAGTTTGAAGTTCAGGTAATTCGTAGAAAAATTATAAGAGCAGAGACAAATTACAAAAATACAAGAGACAAAAAAGTAGAGAACATTGTAAAACATATCCCTACTATTATCGGCCAGAAAAAAAAAATTAGTTGCCCAAATCCTCTGTTCCAAAATGATTATCGAGTTTAGATATTCATTTTTCGTGTATATAGTATTAGAAGCGAAAATCGGAGAATAATTTTTGAATAAGGAGACTAGCATTCATAACCAACTTGGTGATATCTGCCCCGGTTGATTGCATCTTTGCAATTTTATGCCCGATGTGTTTCTTCAAGTGAAGCTATATTATCAGCGTTGCACGACACAATTATTTTGTGATATTTGGTACTCCCTCCGTTTCCTCTCATAAGACTTTTTTATTTGTATTAGATTTCTCCTAGTATGGTTTTTTTAATTGAGAAAAAAACCTAAAAAAATATTTTTGAATAATTATGAGAATACAATGAATGTGAAACTGTAGTTTTAAGGTTTTTATTCAATCAAAAAAATGTGTTAGGTGAAACATAAGACAAATCAGAATGTCTTAATAAGGACCCGAGGGAGTACAAGGATGGAATATCTCTCCTTCCCTAAGGGAATAGGCAATATCAGGATGTTCAAACTCGATAGTCACTTAGTAGTTTTGTGGCTAACTGAAGTGTTTCAAGCTGAAATTCGTAATCTCAGAAGAATTATATAAACCTTTGTCCTGCACCGCTGCCATTTACGATGTTTTGCAATAGGATTAGAGCCTACATCGTAAATGATGACAAAATCCCACAACAAGAGTGTGTTTGCTTCCGCTATAAGATCTCTATATATGCATGTAAAAGTGATCAATTGTTCTTCATGACGTTAGTTGTGCTAATTAAGTTTGGTAGTCATTAGATATAGTGGAACTGTCATTCAATTTCTGAGTTCAAGAATCGATACCACATACTATCTCGATGAGGGAATAAATTCTGTAATCGCCCGATGCAATTGCATAAACCGTCAAAGAAACCTTAAAAGCGAGACCCTTCTACTTGGTCCTGCGACAAACATGTTCAACCTCTCAAATAGAGTTAATATAATAACCTAAGTTGAAAAAAGTAATACATGGTTCAATAATTGTTACTGATTCTTTTATGAAGAAAAAAAATAATAAAATTAAGTAAACGATTCTTATCAGCGTGGATTTAGATATTTAGTGTATCCCTTCACAATAATCTTCTTCATATGGGTGACACAAGACATAATGCGTTACCTTTCAGCTTATTTTGGCTTTTGCCGAAACCGGAAATCCTCCATATATAGATGCGTCAGTTCACTCTTTCAAAAAGGTAGCAGAAATGATTTAAAAAGCATCGAAATTAAGAACCTTTACAAACTAATTACCACATCCAATGAGTTGTAGAGGGGGTGTTTCCGTGTGTTTATTTGATACCAAAAAGATAAAAGCATAAAACCCTAAAGAGGCGGACTTAGTTTACAAACCTTCTGTGGGCAGGCAAACTTACTCCATGGGAGTCGTTATTACCATCCACTTTCAATTTTTGCCAATGACGGTAAATAATCAATCGCAAAATTAACTTTTCTAAGTGCTTAGGTTATCTTGGATTTTATATGTGCAATGTATCATTCAATAAATTAGTTAATTTATTTTCAAGATTATTTTTTGGAAAAAGTAATTAAATTGCTTTATTCCTACAATATATATATATATATATATATATATATATATATATAAATGAATACAAGACTCGCAGAACTCGTTTTTCGTCCTTTTTTGAACCTTTGAACATGCCACCTTAATTTTAATTCTCATTTAGGAAATAAAAACCATTACAACACTGCATGTACACGTATACACATAGACAAAAACACACACACACAACCTTAAATATGTGCACAACTGTAGTGATACTCAATAGACTCCCATTTCAACATACAATCTGAGTCTATCTTACAAGCGGCGGCGCCGATAAAACCGATTCTTCACCCCATTGAAACCTTTCTTCTTAGGCTCATCACGATTCTCTTCCTCAAAACATCCTCAAGCTCAATGGAGACAATTAATCCAGGTAGTTTCTAAGGTAACCATTGTGATTTTCTTCGCTGAACTGTGTTGTTACTTGTTATTAGACAGCTTAATTAATTATTTATGTCGATGGACATTTTTATTTTGTGTGTGCGTGTGTGTGTGTGTGAAAATATAGCTACTGAGATTTTGTTCGGTGTGAATTTTGGTGACGACGATTCAGATTGAGGTGAAATTTAGAAGCATTGGTGAGATTCCGGCCAAAAAAAAGGGAGATTTGCATTGTTAATGACGAAGTAGACGGAGGAGATTTGGATGCATCACGTGTTTAGTCAAGTTGACAACAACAAAGCAACGACGTAAGCAACTTTAATTTGCATGATTGTAATTTGATTTTGGTGTTAGTTTATGTTATTGTAACTCATCAGTGATATTGAAGATATTTGGAATATGGGTTTTAATTTCATTTATTGAGCCACGGTATTTGAATTGGATTACTAAAATCTGAATAAATCTTTTTATAGTTTAGCTTGATTTCTTACTAAATTAAATCAACAACCAGAGCTTACCAATTTGATTGTTATCTGGATCGGGTCAAGTGAATTTCTTTTTTTATTTTTTAATTTTTTCTTTTTGTATTTTGATTTATCTTTTTTTTTATTTTGGTAATTCTTACTTTCTTTAATCATACAGTTGAAAAAAAAAAGTAACTTTGTAATCTTGTATGCTTGAGATCCAGATGCTCCGGGCACTTTTATGGTAGAAGATCTAGGATTTCTTTTTTTTTTTTTTTCATTACCAAAACTTACCTGACTTGTCAAGAAATTGAATTCTCCAGCTTATAGTTTAATTATCTTTATGTCCGAAAAGAAAAATAAAAGTTTTGTCAAAATTGATGAAAATTTGATTTATCAAAGTTATCTGGGCTTTAATTTGTACGTTGGGCAAATCCGTGTTTACAAGATATAATTTTGCATCATCACCAATGGATGATTATGTATCCGGTTAATCATTTACTTCAGAAGATAATTAAATTACCGGCCTAATTAAGATACAAATCTTAATTGTAACCAAAAGAAAAAAGATGCAAATCATAAGAAGAAAATGCCCCAAATTATTTATTTCTATATGCACAATTCATGATGGTATTACTATTTTCCAATTTCATTTTGGACCTACTGAGTTCATTACTCTTGTTTCCCTTTCCCTGTGGCAGCGAGGAAGAATTAAACAAATGGCAGGTTCAAAGAAAGGAAAGAGCAACAACAAGAAGAAAGGAGAGAAGCCAAAACCTAAAGAATCAAACTCCAAACTTTCATCTCATCAAGAGTCCTCATCCACACTTGAAAGTGTTAATCCTTCTGATATTGATGAAGAAACCAACAATCTATTCTATGAAGTCTACAATAACATAGAACTGGCATATCCGGCAGCCTGTGAAATCTTGTTGACATTAGGCTACAGTTCTTATTCAGCAACGTTAGCGATGTTGTGTGGCGGTAACATAGCCGGTGAAAAGGGAGGAAACATGGTCGCGAACATCCTCAAGAACTCGATCTCCTTCATCGAAAACTACCCCGTGGTGAATGGTCAACACGCCGTTGATGTACTTCCATGTTTCCAAACTATGCCTGACCTAATTCAGTGTTGGGTTCAGACATTGGTTAACCAAGCAGCTGGTCTTTATCCCGAGGCCACGCAGCGCGAATTATTGTTGCATGTTTTAGGTTGCAAATTCGTTGATGTTGAAGGGATTGTTAAAGATGTTGGAAATTCGAAGAATGGTGATGATGATGAAACCGATTTTGATGCATTCCTGAAAGAGAACATCAATGCACTTCGATCGGTTAATCTTACTTGGAAGCCTCATCAAGGTATGACGAATAATAATCTTTTGGGATCTCAGCCACCTAGAGGATCGAATGACAAAGGAAAAAATGTTATGAGTGGAAAAAACTCTGATGGTAAAACTGAAGAACTGGCAATCAAATTGGAAATGAAAGTGAAGGAGCTTGAGGAGCAAGTGAAAGAGAGAAAGAAGGGGCGAGAATCTTTGGAGGAGCTCTTGATGCGGCAAAAGATAGAAATTGCAAATGCTCACATAAATAGCATGTTGAAGATGGTTTTGGGATCAAGGAAAGTGAATGATGCACTTGATATCATGGAGGGAAGAACAAGTGAGCTTAGGGTTCAAAATCTGAGACTTCGTGCCGAGCTTTCGGCGTGTAGAGTTAACGGAGCTGAATCAGAGAGGAAGTTGAAGATCGCAATGAAAAAGGACAAGGCAACGATTAAGCAAATTGAAGCTCTTGAAGGAATGACAGATACCGTCAACAACGAGATTCGTGAGACGATACAAATGAGCCTCCAGCTTGATAGGCAGTTGCATGTCACTAAAGAAGCTAGTAATGAACTTGAGGTATGTTAATTTAGTTAGTTTGTGACGTTAAATTCGAAATTTAATTATCATATAATACTTAACTTACAAACTACTTCTGCCACCAAAAAAAAAAAAAAATCCACATCTTGTTTTGACATCTGTAGTAATACTAGTACAAATCTCAAAACTTAATGTGGCTTATATTTCTGAGACGGAGGAAATACATTCTGGTGATAATTTGGTGCCCTATTCCAGTAAACATTATTTTAATAGAAGAAAATTAAAATATGAAGAAAAACAAATAAGGAAAAAGAAACTATAATAAACTTTGAGTACTACATTGTTATTGACTTAAAATATAAAATAAAGGTAGATGCCATATTTATAGCTATACCTATACTATTGGATAAAAACAACTTTAGTGATAAAAATTACTTTTGATAATTAATACATTTTCACTAAAATAAATCTCTATCACTAAAATAGATTCCAACTCCACTATTGATAATTATCTTTAACATCCTCCCTCGAATTGTGTCGGTGCTGGAGACTCAGTTTGCTTTGATTGTCTTGATGACTTTCCCCATCATTAAGAACCGCAGTAGTGAAAAACTTGTAGATCGATTCTCAGCCTTGAGTGATTCTGGTCATGTTTTGGGCAACTTGCTTGATATTTTTGTTGTGTTGTTAGATTGTGGTATGACAAGTCAAAATCCTTCTTTTAGGAGAAGATTAGACTTTCGTCATAATGAGGATTTTTTAGATTGTTAGATTTTTACATGACAAGTCAAAACTCTTCTTATGAGAGAATGATGAGACTTTTGCCATAATGAAAATTTTTGCGAAATGACTCATTGGTGTTGTTCCTCTTTGTGAGAAACTGAAATTTGTGGATCAACTGAAGTTGATTTGTGAACAAAAAAAAGATAAAAATGATGGTTAATGGAGCAAAAAAAAAATTTGTGAATGTAATGGAATTGAAATGTGGCAGATTTTTTTGCAAACTGTGGATATTTTAAGGAGAACGGATTAGATTAATAGTATGTTGATATTTTTGGGATAAAGTATTGGATTAATAGTAGAAAAAGAATGCAAAACATGAATTTGGGATGAATTTGAACACATATGCTAATATCCATGAATGAACATGATTATGAAATCATGATTAGGATTTTTTCTTTGAAGATGACAAAACAACCAAAAAAAAAAAAGATAAGCGGAAGCATGAATCATAATTTATTTTTGAAGAAAACAATAACAGAAACAGAACAGAACTTGCTCTGATACCAAGAAGGAAATTACAATATGAAGAAAGACAAATAAAGAGAAAGAAACTATAATAAACTTTGAAGACTACATTGTTATTGACTTAAAATACAAAATAAAGGGAGATGTCATATTTATAGCTATGCCTATATTATTGGATAAAAATAACTTTAGTGATAAAAACTACTCTTGATAATTAATACATTTTCACTAGAAATTATCATTAAAATAAATTTCTATCGCTAAAATAGATTCCAATTCCACTATTGATAATTATTTTTAACATTAATTAAATTTTTTTTTTGGAGGAGATCTAGGCATAAGATCACACCTCTACCTCTGTACGCTTATATCTAGATTTCTGTTTTGGTTTTTGAGAATGTTGTTAAACAAATAAACCAATTTGGGTGCTAATAAGAACTGCTTTAATCCTATAGGTGAGAGTGAGGCAAGCACTGAAGCAAAAAGAGGAAGCGAATGATCTGCTCAAAGCAGAAAAGAGATCACTAAGAATTGCAAAAGAGGCTAGGGAAGAAATGTTAGCAACTTTGCAGCAAGAAATTGGGGCTGAAAGAAAACAAGTGGAGCATGAATGGAAAACTTTATATAGCGAATCTATTATCCTCGAGCAGGCCTTCGGTTTCCAAGATGAGCCGTCTTCCTCCTCTTCTTCTTCATCTCACGACCAATTAAAGACGTTCATCGACAACATCTGGGACAATGATTGTGACATTCCGATTCACCGGCGATGTATAATGTGCTTGAACAGGGTAGCCGGAGTCCTTTTCATTCCTTGTGGTCATCAAGTCATTTGTATTCAATGTCGTGAAAGAATCGTAGATGAATGCCCTTGCTGCAAGGAGCATATTCAAGAAAAGGTTAGGGTTTTTGGAGCCCCTTAAGGCTGCATGATTAAGGTATGTTATGATCATTTTAGTTTTTTAAACTTTTTTTGCCATAGCTTTTTCATGTCTAAGCTTTATTTGATTATCAATCATACTCTAGACAGAATTCTCAAGTCTTCTTCTTTTACAACTCTATCATTGACCGAATACATTTGATGTGGTATACATGAATGTGTTGTTAAGTTTTCTAATTGGCAACATGAATTAAAGTCTCTTTCAAGAACTAAGTTCTATATTTCATCTAGTCATTTTTAACTTCTGCATTTTGGAATAAAAAGAACTGTTTTTCATCAAAAATATTCTTGGATAGTTTTCTCCTCAATTTAATTTGCTTGGCTACTTTCATTTGTATCATGGAGTTACTTGAAAATTTGTGTCGTTCACAATCTTCTTGAAGAAAATTGCTAGAAAAACAAGTTTCGCATAACACATACAAAAGTCATATTTGAAAGTCAAATAAACCACGTAGTCTAACTCATTTTCTCTATTTAATTATGTCATTTCCATGTCATGCTAACTTTACCATGTTTGTAATTTTCTCTCTTAGCAAGATGTGGTCGTAAACATTAATCTAATAATGACATCAACTTTGTTCGTTAGGACACCACCTAATTACATGCAAGCATCCCAAATTTTGTTAATGAAATTATAAACATTTCTACATTTCCATTCCCTAATAATCGTTCGGATAAAACATAATTTATATATCTTTCTTTTCATTATTCCCCCTCTTGTAGGTGCATAGATTTATGAAGGCGTCTTTCCAAGGGATGTGGTTGCTGGGCTGCATTGGTCATGGTAGATGAATGACAAGAAACAAGATTGGAGGGATAAACATTTCCTTCATTTACTTTTCACCTGAATTTCCTTCGTTTGTGTTCTTTTGTTTTTCATCAAGCATGGAATGTAATTAAATTAATATTCACCTAGCTAGGCTTTTTTAAGCCTAAACTTTAAAGCATAAACAATTTCCTTCATTCTAGTGTTTGCCATTTCTGAAGAATGCAATGTATGAACGTTTATGATTGTAATGGCACAAAATGGAGAGCCGACAATGTGTAGCAATATCTAAAACTTCCGGTATCAATAATTGCTGGATAATTTTTAAAAAATAGCTAATCTCCATATTTCACAATAAGGTGCCTGTACGAAGGAACATATCTGGATGCGTATGTTTACTGGTGGATTGATTGCAACAGAAATTTTTTGGGGCAAAAAAGTTTCTGTATTACCTATTAATTTTCCCTTAGTGACTCAAGGCAGGAATTTTATTTTGTGCGGAATCGACATTGGCCTTCCTTTTCTATCAATAATTAGGGCTCTTGAGGAGAAGGGATGAGAAAGCAAATTAAAGGTTAATGCATTTCTTGATCCGAGAGAGTACTTTGACGACTTCACAAGATACCTGAGAGATGTGTGGCAACATATAAGACCAACAGCTAGGTACCTCAATTTACTATATTCATTTCATATACTACTCACCTCTGTCCTAAGAAATAGTTCATATTGAGTTTTTAAATTTAGTATTTAAAATAACATAAATCTTAAAACTCAATGTGTATTTTTTTACGGACAGAGCTAATATATAATAGATTTCCTTGGGGGTATTGGAGGAGAACATGAGCACACTCTATTAGTACAGTTAGCTGATGAATTTGATAATCATATATAACAACTTCTTGCTTTGGTGTTTTATGGTTAATGCAACGTTTCCTATCATAATATACATAGTAAAAAAAATCTTCAAAGACATCTCATTATTCTGCCACCATGCATGCTACATGCACTTGTAGCTCATTATTCTCCAAGCTCAAAAATCAAAGATGGTTCCAACAAAGAATTCCTCATCCCTTATGACCATTTGCAATGCAACTTTCTCCATTTGATTTTATGTTCCCTTTAAGATCACAAAGAATCATATTTCTCTTACCAATATGATGATTTAATTAATCATAGTACTTCCTCCGTCCTAAAATTATATTGTCTTATAGTACAATTTGTATTAAAATAAAAATTCAAACTGGACAATTATTTCGAGACGGAAAAAGTAATACTTAACTTGAAAGGTGTTTGAGGATGATGGCTTTGCTAGTGGAATTGCCATCGTATCTTGAGGAGAGATTTTGACGGCTAGATAAAATTATATCCCCGTGACATTCCAATGAATGATATATTAATGCCCACAAAACTGATATTCTTTCTATAGCAAGAAATCATGATATTATGTAACGTAAATGAACAAGAGAAAGATCTTGCTCTTTCTATCACAAAGTATTGCTATTTTTGTTGTACTGTTACTAATTGTGAAACAAACATGTCTCAAAGCACAAATACAAAAATCAGTTTTGGACGGAAGGAGTATTATTTATGATAAAAATGTTTAAGCTCCAATCATCCAAGTATGGTAGGTTACCTTGGGTTCAAGTTTGTTGTCAAAATTAATCGGAAGGGCATAGGTAGGCAATGTTAAAGATTCGACCATGATGACCGCTTACAAATGTTTGTTTGTTTTACTAATAGTAATAGTACATTTCTAAATTTAAGTTTGCTTTTTAATACATTTTTCAGATATTCTTTCTGTTTTCTTTTCACCTCAAAATTTAACCCAAAATATCATAAATCTAAAGTATCTTCTGCAGGTGGCGTCATAAGAGCTCAAATAGAAATAAAGCTTGCACGGCCGAACCCAATGTTTGTAATCTCTTTGGCCACCATTAATAACATAACTTGTCACCAAGGATAAATAAGTTTGTGGCTCGTCTCAACTGCACTTGGACTTGTTAAAATTTTCATCCCTTAAAATGATTATCATTTGATTTACTGTATCTAATAATTGACACTATTTTCTCTACTCTAAAATAAATGTTGTTGAACAACTTACATACAATTTAAGAGATATTTAAATAGTTATTAAATTACTAAATAATCATCAACCAACCTCATCAAATAAATAGTTATCATTAATACTCCCTCTTTTCTAATTTAATAGGCTCACTTTCCTTTTAGGGATTTTTGAAAATGTTGTCTCATTTCAGACATTAACAATAATTTTATCTATTATTTCTAATATGCTCTTGCTACTATCACTGAAATTTTAACATTTGATTGAATCAAACTTTCAATCTCATCAGATTAACTAACAACCACTAGTCATTAATAGGAGCATATTAAATGAATTACTCCAAAATTAACCATTTAAATTATACTACTCAATTTTTCTTAATCTCCGTGTTTGTCTAAATGGGACTATTGAATCGGAATGGATGGAGTATTATTTTCATTTGAGGGTAATATTGAAAAATTAGTCAAAAGTCTATTGGAATCCAAAATGACACTCATGTTAGAATTTTCCTATTTTGTGAAAATAATACTTATTTCAGAATGAAAATAGTAGTATTGTATGGTAAATGCAAAAAAATAAAGAATTATACTTCTTTTATCCCGAAATTATTTTTCATTTTAAATTTTTATTTTTAATGTAAATTGAACTAAAGAAGAAATATTAAATTCAAAAAAAAATTTGGGATAGAATGAGTAATAATTAATAAATTCCACTTAATCATCCCATCTCATTGAAACCGAAAAGTGTTGCTCTCTATCGAATTCCCGCCGTTTACAAACAAAGACAACTACCAAACCGTTCGAATATACTCCCTCCGTTTCTTATTATAAGACATTTTGATGTTGTTTTAAGTTTCATGTTGGATATTTTTTTAATTGGAGAAAAAAACTTTAAAACTATATTTTCACATTTGTTGTGTTCTCTTAATTATTATGAAATGGTATTAAGGTTTTCATCTCAATTAAAAAGACGTAATAGGTGAAACTTAGGACAAATTAAAATGTCTTATAATAAGGGCTAGAGGGAGTAATACTACTACAAGCTCATATTTTTCAAAACTACAACACCAAAAACGGGCAAATCTAAGCAAAACGTTGAAAACTCGTAGTGAAATCATATGTTTTGGCATGAACTTTCCCTTCATTAATCTTTTTTCGTTTGGCGCCAACATAGATCACCAATCCGGTGTCTTTCCCCGCCACCTAACTATTGTACGTACAACTTTCTGTACACTGATTTTCAGTTGTGCATTAGTAAATCTATTATAAAATTAAAGACATGAAAAGAAGGTAGATTTATGATCAAAATACGCGAGATAATGCAAAAGTCGATATAGATAATTTATGATCAAAATCATGTCTCTATTTCTTATGGTTCCCCCACGAATTTGGGGACCAAATTACTCAAAGTCGGTTATGAGAGTACTCGAAATTTTCTTTAATTCGTCGGCTATGAATTTATAACTTTGCATCACTATTGTTGAAAATTAAACGATGAATTTATAACGGCTATGAATTAATAACTTTGTATCACTATTGTTGAAAATTAAACGATGAATTTATAACGGCTATGAATTAATAACTTTGTATCACTATCATCAAAAATTAAACGATGGATTTATAACTTTTTATCACTATCATCGAAAATTAAACAAAACAATACCCATTGACTTAGAAGAGATCTACATCAAATCTTTCACAAATATAATAAATGCATTAAGTTGAGAGTTTCTTAGTTGTTATTCTCCCAGGCTGTACTTTTGGTTAAATCCAAGTTGCATTCTCTCATCGTACTTCATTTCAAATGTTAGTCGTTTTAGATTTGGAAAAATATTTTAAAATATAAATCATTTTAGGATTTCAAATCAAATTAAAATTTAAATTCTTAATTTTACCCCCAATAAATGATGCTAACCAAGTTTCATTCCCAGCTTATATATATCCTTCAAGAGAGAGAGAGAGTCAATGAGGGGTGAGGCAGAAAATCCAATTCATTTCTGCTAAATATTTGATTCCTGACAGGTCGAGTTTATTTTATAGAGTATTTCTTTGCTGCTGATCAAACAAAGTGAACATCTAGCATGTAATATAATCCACACCAAACATCTACAAAACCCATATTAAATGATGAATAATTATAATCATAGAAAATCAAT